GCTGCAAACCTCCTACGCCCATTCCCCACGTCTCAATTTCCTCCTCGCAAACGCCGAGTCTCTCCCCATGGTCCCTTCCAATTCCCTCGATCTCTACACCGTCGCCTTCGGAATCCGCAATTTCACAAATAAAGCCGCGGCGTTGCGGGAAGCGCATCGGGTCTTGAAACCCGGTGGACTCTTCGCGTGTTTAGAATTCTCGGATGTGACCAATCCGTTATTCAATGCGATTTATAAACAATGGAGTTTCTTAGCCATACCATTGATAGGTCAATTGGTGGCGGGAGATAGAGATAGTTATCAATACTTGGTAGAGAGTATCGAGAAGTTCCCTAAACAGGAGGAATTCAGAGATATGATTAAGGAAGCTGGATTTGTGGTTCCTGGAAAGGGATGGGAGGATTTGACAGGCGGAATTGCAGCAATCCATAAGGGTATCAAACCTCTAGAGAAGTAGACAAGGGGGATTGTCCCATTTGCTAAGCATCCGCTTTGATATCACGTTGTCTCTATGAGCTTGAATCATTCCGACTCTCAAGTAAATCACGTTAGAAGATCTGTAAAACTCCACCATGTAAAATGCATATACACATTATTGTACGATACCATAAGCTCCAAATATCACGATGAAAAATCTCAAACACATTTACTAGAATTTAATTGATGTTTTCTATGCATCTGCAATCATTTGACAACCAACCCCTTTCTGACACCTCGCAACCACCAACCTTTCAATTCTCTCATGTTTTCCCCTGCGGAAATTTGAGGCAAAGACTAGAATACATGTGCAGCGCTATTCATAGATTCGTTCCGAATATCTCATTCCATAATGAGATCCATGATATGATGCGACTCAAAGCTACCTGTATCAAATATACAGATGCGAAGGAAATGGAACGAGCTAGTAGCCATCATCGCCTGCACACAAATAAAGGTAGGAACCGTGAAGTATGAGCAAATGTTTATAACTCCACTCCGGTACCTTAAAATATTTTTATGAGGACGAAAGAAAGCCGAAATACTAATATGGCTGAGCCTCTGTCAAGATAGATATCTTCTGTTCACAATAAGTGACCATTTAGAAGATGTACTGTACGAGAAATATGACTTTTGGTGCAAGAAAGCAAGGAAAACTGGTGATGTATGACGTCGAATATTATCGTTGATCAAGAATCGCCTCCTGCTGGTGTAGCTGAAGCTAGAGCAGGAGATGCTCCACCTTCCTTGTTGAAGCCTCCTCGTCCGCCACGCCCACCTCTACCTCTATCATTTCCTCTTCCACGGCTAGCTCCACCACGACCGCCTCGACCGCCTCGTCCACCTTCGCTGTCGCTAGCACCCCCGCTTCCGTAACCACCTCGGGGAGCACTGCTGTTTCCACCTCTGCTGCTGCCCCAACTGCCTGCGCCTCCACGGCTTGAAGAGTAAGACTTGTTATTATCCCTAGCCTGGAATAACTTCACCAAAGGTCTTGAGCGATCCTCACTGCTACGTTGTGTGACCTCTGCAGGTAGACGACCTAGAGCATCATCTCTCTCCTGCGTTGTCTTGAAAACGGCAACCTTGTTGGATGCACCCCATTTATCGACTCTAATAATCTTTGCCTTGTCATCGTCGTAGAACAAATCGCGGACATGATCTTCTGAGTTTACATTCATAACGAAGAGACCAATGATTTGTTCGGCAGAAGGCTTGGCTGCTGGGGACGAGCTGTCTGTACCATTCGTAGTCGCGGGAGTCTTCTCGTCCTCTTTGGCAGATGGTAGGTTAACAACGTTGCTTTGAGCTGGTTGTGGTGTGGCAGGCTTTGCTTGGAATGATGGAGCTGGTGACTCTGAGGTACGTTCAGGACCAGCTGGTGGAGCTCTTGTTTGTTGTTGAGCTTGTCCTCGTTGACCGAAAGGTTGCGCTGGAGGTTGTGCGGCAGGTGAACGCTGAGCTGGCCCAGTAGGTGGTGCAGAGGATACAAGGTTTTGGCTTGATCCAGGTGTTCCAGAGCCGGTCGCAGGTGCTTGTGCTTGTTGCTGTTGGTGACCTGGGTGTTGCTTTGCACCTCGATGAGCGAAGTTGAATCCCTGAGCTCGCATTTCGGTACCGATGCGCCCATCTTGAACTTCCAAAACCAACCATCCAAAGGCAGCATCAGCTAGGTTAAAGTTCCACATGTTTTTGAAAGCACTTTCGTCAACTTGACCCAAAGTAGCGGCATTGGAACCACCAACGGGGCCGCCGAATGGGTTACCTCCATGTGCGGTGCTTGGCATCTTCTCTACAATACCAAGGGCGTTGTTAAGAAGATTTTGTTGAGCTTCGTTTTGAGAAATGGCCGGTTGAACTTCGCTCTTGACCGTCTCCCATACGTCATTAAAGGAAGCTTTGGATGCTGCGAGCTTACCCCGGTAATGATCCAAGGTAGGGTTGACACTGAATTCGTTGTAGGAGCTTCCATATCTGAAATGTAGTCCTGCAGATATCGAGAAGTCGGCTTTGAGGGTAACTGAGAGCTGGTTCAAAATACCCTCGCGAGCTGGTGACGCATGGGTAATAAATACGCGGGTTTCGGTAGGATCGTATACACGATTGGCGGTATCTACCAACTCTCCCATTTGAAGTAGTGTAGTCCACATGGTTCCTTGCCCACCAGCAATTGTGGTTCTACCCTCGCCATTGTCGAAAAGTTTGTGCATGACAACTGCGCCACCAAGTCCGAGAAGTCTTAACTTAACGCCTCCAATTTCCAAAAGCATTGAGCGTGCCTCATCAATGATGTGAAGTTTGTCAACCTTGTATTCGCCCGATCTGAATTTCTCGAGGACTCGCACATCTTCACATGCACCCCAGACAGTGTAGACTGGTACATCAAGCTTCAGGCTGCCATTTAAGAACTGTGGTAACTCGGAAAGTGGAAGGTCGCCAGGACTGAATCTCGATTTTACTGGGCCGCCCGGTGCTGCGATTGCCTTTTTCGTAGCTTCTGTGATCAGGGGAGAGTATTGAGCGACATGTTTGAGGGTTCTATTGAATTTTGTTAGTGGGTGACTTGAGGTGCTGAGCTTGATGCTGAGCTCACTTTTCTGCAATGCGATCGAGAGAGGTGTCATCATAGAAACCGAAATCTCCTGTATGAATAATGTGATCTGCGCGTGCTTGCTTTGCGAGTTCATTGAGTGATCTTAAATTTCCTTCCAAGTTGTCAGCGTTTCCTGAAAAGTCAAATCTTCAGGTCAAGCTCACCTCGTACGTCTGCCACACACAAAACTCTCACACCTCCAGTTTGTATGATTCTACCGTTGTTTGGGAGTAAAGGGGTAGCTCCAGGTGGGATACCAGTATGACCTGCTACAGCACCATTTGGCATATAAGCTTGGTTATAGCTAGGTTGTTGGGGAGGGAGTCGTTGCTGAAACATTGGATCTGTTAGCTTGGGATGTACTGGAAACTTCTGAAAAACGGAAGAGTAAGTGGGTCGTCTCCCGACAACGAAAGAGCTTGCTAGAGCCATTCTCGATTGAATGAGACAGTAGAGGAGTAGCGGAAGTTGAACAGAGATTGTCTGATTGAAGATTATGTTTGAAATGGTAAAATGGGTATTCCACTTACAGAATTGGCCATAATTCACAAGATCGTGGTGATTCACAGTTAGATAAGGAAGGCGTAAAGAGGTGAATTATTCTATGCGCTTTCTTCGTCGAAACAAGTAGGTACGATGGAGGAGATTAATTAAAGGAAGTAAAGGAAGGTGGTATGTAGTAAGGTTTTTGGTTGAGGAGGAAGTACCTTTTTTGATGGTTGAAGTTGAGTGAATCTCTTTCGCACGGCTTACAACCAAATTGGAAACCTAAGGACGACAACATCCCTGCAACCTTCAGCTTGATTTGGTAGCCCACACTTCTCTGTCATCAAACAAACCTCACTTCAAACGTCACTTCAGACCTCACTTCAGACCTCACTTCAGACCTCACTTCAGACCTCACTTCCAAAAGTTGATTTACCGTTTATAACTGAATGCAAGTAAGTTTATACGGTGATTTGTTACGATTATTAAACTCGAAATTACTCCTTGATACCCAAGTAGGTATTATTACAAGACTGTTTATTACATCCGTTTACATACACTTCTCCGTATACCATTTCAAATCATTTCCATGTCCTTGTGGCAGCTAGACAGTGAGATTGCAAGAGTGAGCAGGAGCTGAACGACCCCCTTCAATGTCTTCAGTGCCATTCCTGTGTGCCATTTGTTCCTATGTACTACCACCAAACAGTATCCAGAACACTTGGCTAAACATGATATATAAGAGTGAGCTGCCTAAACCTTTCAACATACCATGGGTAATCACTAGCATCACGTGAGTAAGTGTATCATACCTTGGTAATTGCAAGTGCAAGTGAAAGCAAGTATTTTTTAAACACAGAGGAATTGAATACCGTTGGGATAGAGGTGAATGGACTTATATATGACTTTCAACTAGTCGGGTAGGTAGATCTTTCACCCCTCTTACTTACCCTTTTCCGTTAGTTTTATCCACTCCAGACACCTGGTCTCTATTCTGTATTCTGCATTGCTGTATTATCTGGCAATCGGATGCTCACCAATTTTGAGTTTGTAAGATCTTACTTGCTTTGCTGCATATGTATCGTTCGTTCACCTGTCTAATCCAGGAAATCCAAAACAAAATGTGTGGCGCAAAGGAGATCATGGGAAGCATTATTCAGAACATCTCCCCCTCTTTCGTGCTTTCTCTGCAATCAATTAAGGTAGGAATATGTACTTTGATTCGTTTCTTCATTCTTGTCACCTACCTAAATGTGCTCTTTTTAATCTCTACGGCCCCGTAGAGGAAAGTTTCGTGCCAAGATCGATTACTAAACTTCTGTCGATCAAGAAACACACACTGCCTAGTGCTTCGTTAAACCGGTATTCGCCAAAAGAAGTTTCGAAAATATTGAAAGGACCAACAGACTGGTACTTCTATATTGAAGATAACTTCCACTCCAAAATGTCTGCAAAGATGCCTGGGAAGTTGAATAAGTAAGTGTCCCTTCTTTATCTTTGAATACTCGCTGATCGAGTATAGACTTCTTAGCTATGCCATGATTCATGTCCACGTTGGACATGACCTCAAGGATTTCGGTGTCCACAAAGACCTTGTCTGTCATCATTCACCATACTTTAAAGCTGCTTTGAACTCGGGATTTGAGGAGGCTACAACTGGAATTATAAAATTTCCGGAAGTCAAAGTGGAAGTTTTCGAATTATTCTATCATTGGCTGTATACTCAGGACTTGCATTTGCCTTTGTGGGACTCAACCACATCGAGTTCTGAGGTTCGTATCACAAGGGACTTGGGAGAGGATCACAGCGTGTGTGCTTTTTGCAACCAGGAAGATACATTTTCAGTTGATAGCGCCTATGATAGCGACGCGGACAGCTGGCTTAGAATTACGCATAATGATACTTGCCGTTTGCATTTGTTTTGTAAAAAGCAACTGAAACTGCTTTCAAAGCTCTACGTTTTTGCCGACATGACACAGGTTCCCGTACTCCAGAACTCTTGTATCGAAAAGTTTCATGAAATGGTAAACTTGGGAAGGCGTGTTCCTGTCGAACTCATAGAATATATTTGGGGGAACACAATGGAACATGACAAACTTCGCAAACTCATAATCGACATGATGGTATGGGAAACGGCTCCAGAATTCAGCCTCTTTGTAGCCCATCCCATACCGACTCTCGTTCTGGGCGAAGTTCACTCCACCATGAGAAGAAACTTTAGAGCTGCTGTTCATGGAACTGGGGGTGCATTAAGCAATCCTTTGTGGAACATCGAAAAATACTTTATAAACGTCGATACGGAGGCAGATAATGGCTATCGAGGCATGTCAGCTGGATTTTGATTTGCAGCAGTGCATTCGATGGCCCGAACCATATCCTTGGTCTTTTAGTATCTCGGAATTCTTCCACAAGATCGAAAGCTCTATAATTCCACCGAGTTGAAGAAATACAGGTCAGATCATGGCTACATTATTCTGCAATATACCATCCAATCTCATGATTTGTGGTTACCATTGATTACAAGCACAGCTTAATCGACGCGCAAGTTAGTAGACGGGGATTTGGCAAAGCTCAAAATCAGAATCACTAGGTATCATTGCGGGTCGTCTCAAGGCAATCGTTGGACTTCTTACACAAATTCTTTTTTATAATTAGTTTTCTCATTCAAGGTTCTCGATTAAATACGGTTATTTATCCATGATATGTATCATCTCAACATGTGCCTCTCACCATGCCTTCCCAATACACAACTTTCCTTCTCAGTTTAACGTCACACCTTATCCATCCCCATCCACATCCACATCCTTAAATCAATGTCTACAACTTGAGTGCCGCTAATATCAACTCATTTCAATGCAACCATACAAGCATCAGTCAAATCACTACTTCATGTGCGACTACAGTGTTCTTGTTTACAACATTAGAATAGAAAGTTTTGCTTTATTTACACCAGACTCTGCACAGAATAGTGGCAAGCCTCGAGAGCTTGTCTCGAAACTCGTAAAATCGAGTGCTTTCCTATAATGGAGTCAAAAACTGTGTCTCATCGCTTTTTGTAACTTCTATAGTATCATCAAGAGCGCACCCTGCACATTTTTTGAACCTACTTCATACAAATCTCTTAGGCTTTTACGTTTCCGGGCAACTCGCATAATATCACGCGCACTTGCTTCCTCTGAGATTCTGGACGTGTACAAAAGATAAACCTATGCGGTACCGAGGGACAAGCAATTCTTTACTTGTTTCTGGAAGATATGGCTTTTGAGGAAAATGCACCCTTTGTCGTCTGTTGATGAATCTTTGGGAATTGTGCTTCGAAATATGAATGTAAGCACATATTCTGGCCACCAAGAAAGCGTATTTAATCAATTATCTTCGTTGAGTCTAGCTGATCTCAAAGATTTAGTCCTAAGCCACTGCGCAATTTTTGCAACAGTGTGAAGACACAGATTTCCTCTGCTAAAACCTCGATATTATGATTTTTCCCCAGACCTCCAAAACATGCCTATTCCTCACAGGTTTGCAAACCCTCACCATTGATCTGTTCGAATCCACGCCAATATACGAACCCTTACACTCTGTGAGAAGCTACTGGGCACCTCTCGATTCTCTGCTCTGTTTCGAGCAAGTCATGTCTCGAGATGTGATTCTTCCAGGCACATGCGCACATAAACTATTATGGGAGTGCCATCTTTGAGGCCGAGAGTGATCTGAAACAAGTGATACTGAAGCAACTACTATCTTCGTTTCCGTTTTTACTCAGGCCAGGCTTTTGATACTTCAATCAAAACTTATCTTGGACTTCCTATAATTATTACAGCAACAACTCACTCTAATCCACCCATTCAAGACAGGTAAAATTAAATCTAAGATGGAAGGAGACAAATCCACCAGAATGATCATCAAGTAAGTCTCTTTCTCAACTTCTCCTCTTTTTACATGATGCACGCTGGTCGTGTTGCCACTAACACAATATCAAGACAAATTTAACAAGTTTTCAGATCCATTGGACGCGAGGTCGTGCATGCCAAAGTCGGAAAAGACCTACAAGATTTCGGTGTACACAAAAGCCTAATATGCCACTGCTCCCCATTTTTTAAGGCTGCATTTAATTCTGGCTTCGAAGAAACGATCACTGGCATCATCAAACTTGCAGATGTCGATGTTGGAGTTTTCGAGCTGTTTTTTCGATGGCTATACACGCAACAAATCGGCGAGCCGGAACAAGATGCAGTTAGATTCGCTCTCTCGGATGATGAGTCAAAATCGGGCCACGCCTATGAACTTCATGTTAGCACTCTGTTGCGACTCTACATCTTTGCGGATATGATCAAAGTACCGACTCTCAAAAATGACTGCATCGAGAAGCTCTCTCGTATGAGCTCTTTCCAAAAGGAATACCTAACTGAGTCCGAAAATGTTCAATATGTTTGGGAGCATACAATAGAGGGGGATTTGATCCGCAAGCTTTTTATCGATACGATCATTTGGGACTTGGGGATAACATCATTCCACAAGACTCTGGATAAACTTCCTGAGAAAGTAAAGTTTGCCATTATTCTCGCCATGAGAAGAGTTATTGATAATGCTCGCGCGGAGATAAAAGAGATGGGAAAAAGCAGAAGAAAATCCAAGACTCTCGCATCTTTAGATAGTCCTTTGGAAGATCCAACAAATTATTATGAGAAAGTCAGTGAAGAAGATAACAAAGATAGAGATGATTCATCTAGATCGAGGGCAGAGGTCTCCGAGAAAATGTATGAGGTTGAGGAAATTTTGGACTCTAGATGGGTGAATGGCTTAGTCTGTTATAAGGCTAAATGGGTTGGACACAAGCAAGATGATCAATATTTTCCGGCCGAGAACTTTAGAGGTGCTCAGGAACTTGTCAAGGAATTTCATAGGAAGTACCCACACAAGCCTCATCCAAGAATGATATACCACTAGTTCTATTCTCCTTTTCTTGTGTGGGGTTGAGAGTTCGACACCCATGGAGTTTCCTATGTCCGGCTTGCAGGGGGGCAGCCAAAGGTATTCTAGTTCTGATATCGATTACTTAACTCAAATAGTTTTGAATGTTCAACGCGCTTCAGGCATTGAAGGCTTATTTAGAGTCTATCAGTTCGGACTATGGGGCACCTGGACTGTTGTGCCACATTATGTATAAAAGTGCTTGCATATCTACGTAGTCAATAATCAGTGGATAGCTTGTGGAAGATATCTCCCATTCTTAAGATCTAACTGATCTTTACAGACATCTTTTCTTCTTTCTCCTAACACTTCGAAGAACAATTCTCTGAACAACGCATCACTTGCACAGGGATTCTAGCTGAAGAAATTTTCGTTTATGGTTTATCAAACTCCCATCATATCGTTCAACTACCTTAAGGTTATGGCAGTGCATCACTATCTATCTAATCGCTCTAACGTGACTGGTTCTGCTGCCTATCAATCTTTACACAATCCCGCATCCGAAGCTACAGTCATCAGATCACTCCTAAACGACGTATGAGCATACAAAACCAAATTCGGATCATAAGACAATTTCACCTCCAATGATTGATCATAATTTGCACCATAATAATCCTCCTTTCATGTCGGATTATCAAAGGTTGCCTCATTCATATATGCTCGTCACCAGGTGTCAGGACTTTAAATTGTTCTTGAAATGCATCCACGCGCGCTTAGATCTGCTGTATTATCTCTCTTGAAGCTGTGGCATCGATGCCGACGTCAATATTTAGCCAATAGAGAGAATCGCGCCATGTAGAAAGAACAGCATTAGAGCCTACATCGTTTCCAACGCGAGAATGTGTGAAGTTAGCTGCTATTCCGCTGATTCGCAAAGACGTTGCGGGAATCCCGGTCGTACTGATGATGTCTTGGAAAACGGAAATTAGGTTAGTGACATTATTCTGAACCGTCGAGCAGGGAATTAGACGTCCTTCGATAATATCATTTGTCTTATAAGGTCCATAGGGGAGACTTCACGTAGCTCAAAGAGCTACAATTCAGGATCTTCCTAATTGAAGATATACAGAGTTTTCACATCGAGCTAGCCCAATCGGGTTCTAGCTCTACTACGCACCAGCGTAGACGCCTGTTTCGGTTCCATTCGGCAGAACCGATTAGTTACGTGATCGACACCGTGATAAGTAATAGCAAGCTCAAAATTCATATTTATATATTAAAAATTCGAATTTCTGCATCTAAATATATATATAATACATATATTCTATTTACTTTTGTTTCTACAGATTTAATATTAAAATCGATATATAAATAAGAAAATGAAATACAAAAATCCATCTTTTTCAGAATAGGAAAATTCGATAGGTTTTAATCGGAATTGATATCCAAACGAGCCCTAAGTCTTGCCGCCATATTTATGATGTTTCGTTTCTCCCTACCAGACTCTAACCGTCACCGCTTCTACAAAAGATTCTATAAGCTCTGTTATCCATCGTGTGAGCAAGTGTCAGCCCTACGGATAGGGGCGTTGTTAGATCGCGTATAGAGTTCGACTCGAAGGATCAGATAACGATCCATATTCCATAATTCTCAGTCCTCTTTCGCACCGATAACGATTACAAGGTGAAAGTATCGTGCTATTCGCAATCGATGTCGGCAAAATCCCGCTGAAGGTTTACGTGTAAGAGGATATCGTGAAGAGCTAGTCGATCGGGTATCAAATCCTTCCTCCTAAAACTTTGTGCCAGAAAGGTTTAATGAAATCGTGGCACTGTGCATTTGACATACCTGCAGTGCTTAGACTCCGCAGAAGGTGACAAAGTAATTTCGATAGCCAATCCCGTCAGGTACGCATGATGCAAGGTGAGCATAAACGCGGCTAATTGTTTACTCTGCATGACTAGCCGATTCGCTTACCCCACAATCATTCCCAGGTAATTCCTAACTAACGTTACCGAGCGTCTATATGCAACTTGCTGACCTAGCATGAAGCTTATCCCGACGATTCGTACCTGACTTTCCCGTTACAATATGACCTACTTCATGGTGTATGTCATCATGGTTTTTGCCATCATGGTTTTTGCCATCACTTGCTTGAAGTGAATCGGTAACATTATATACATGCGGAAATCAAGCACTCGAGACGATGGCATCAGTAATCCAGAGTATGCAGAGTAATACCATACATTTCTTATTCCATTGCATTTGCAACGCTTAATTGAAAGCGGTCACAGGGAGTTTTCAACGATATATAGATGCTTCTCTGACCTTTTGAATTGTGATTTGACATCAAAAATCAGATCAACAATCGCTTCTTTTCACGACTTAGCCTCGTGCATAAACTCCAATCCAATACTAAGTCATCATGGCACCAACTATCGTTCTCAATTCCGATACCAACAAAGGCATTGGCGAGGAAATTCTCGAACTTTATCTTTCTAAGCCCAACCACACTGTTGTTGCCGCAAACCGCGATCCAAACCATCCTTCCTCCAAAGCCCTCGCCGATTTGCCAACGGCTGAAGGCTCGTCCCTTGTCCTGGTCAAAGTTGATGCTACTATCTCCACAGATGCACTCGAGGCTGGGAAGCAATTGGAATCTCAGGGTATTGATCATATTGATATTGTCATTGCGAATGCCGGCGTTTGCTACGTTTGGCTTAGGGTTTCGGAAGTAAAGGCCGACGATATCCAAGGACATTTTGTTTCATACGTACACGGTTTTATGTGGCTGTACCAAGCTAGACTTCCTCTTTTGAAGAAGTCCAAATTCGGAAAGTTTGTCACCATTTGTTCTTCCGCAGGATATCTCATGGTAAGTCCGGTCCCAAATATCAGTTCACCATCGTAATTTTTGGCTAACAATCTTCTATGTAGTAATCGATCCTCTCCTCAACAACATCTATGAGTAACTAAAATGCATAGTATGTATTGACATTTTACAGGAACCAATTAGACATGCCAAATTCGGCCTACGCGCCTTCTAAAGTTGCCGTACATTGGCTTACAAAAGCTATCCATCGTGAAGAGCCAACTCTTATAGCTTTCCCTATTGATCCCGGGTAATTTCCAACTTATGATTCTTGTAGTGGAGCATTATCTTTTGTCTTCAAATCCCGCTAACATGCTATCTAGATGGGTCCAAACCGACCTGGGAAATATCGGTGCTAACCACTTCGGCTTTGACGCAACTCCCCTAGGAGTCGCAGAATGTGCTGCTGGGTTAGACCAGGTGATAGCTAAGAGCACAAGAAAAACCTACGGAGGAAAGTTGTACAAGTGGGATGGCGAGATTCTTCCTTGGTAGAGGTAGTCTTCTAGGAGCCACTCATTAGATATATCACATTAGGCTTAGAATTAAAAATGTATATTTCGAACAAATCCAATCTCATATTGAAACTCTATCAGACAACTCTTAATTATATCATAAAAACCATGTACTAAAATATATTTACTTACTATCAATTTATCAACAAATAATACATAGTACTCTTTAATCTTGAATCTATAAACGAAAATAAATCTTCGACTAGTAATCTTATTGTTTTTAAGTATATATTCAAGAATAATAATTAGATTCCATAGTTTAGAATTAATCTTTATAACCTACTTAATCACTTTTATTATTCGTATCTTGATATATTATACCCTTAATTTCTAATAAATATTAGAATTCTTTTTAGAATTCTTTTTCAAAATTGTAAAGAATTACAATAAATAAATAATAAGCTTACTTCTCGTTTTTAAACTCAAGGAATTATAAATCTTTAAATTATATGTTGATATATCTCTTAAAATAAGAAAACAATATCTTAATTTTACTCATATAAGTACAATCCGATATATTTACATATATAAATATTATTATAGAAACTTTAACTAAAAAGCTTTTTTAATTTCATTAATAAAAATAGAAATTTAGAGGAATATAAATCGCTTCATACTTATGATATAAACTCTTTAACAATAATCGATATTAGAATATGAGGTTTGAGAAAAATATGTACAGATGTTCTAGTTTTTGATATTATAGGTAATGCTCCATTGAGAGGATTTGGAGAATTGATGACAAGTAAGAGTTTGTACTACAAGCTCCTGGAATTCCTGCTTTGAAAGGAGATCAATTCGGGTATCTGCAGAGGGCATGAATTAAATTTTAAGGATACTTATATCTCGATTTCTAATCAAACCCGCGTAAAATTTAATCAATATGGCTTATTAGCAGTTTGCAAACTGAAACAGAGCTATAGTAAACTAACATTTGACTCTTGATGCTGTATTAAATGTTCTCAACTTTAAATACCCTCAAACCGAACTTTTGAGCGGCGTAGTTGCAACACGGCGAGAAATTATTTAAATATATTAAAAACAAAAATATTCAATAGTGAGAATTCATGATTTGATATTCAAATAGAAATCTAAAATCTGTTATCAAAATGAACAGATTATTTAACGAAATCTGACCGGATTTGTACGTAAGATTACAAAGTAGCCCTAAAACCTGAAGATACATATCAAATACAACCCAAGGCTTATATATCGTGCAACCCCGAATTTCTCATTTTGCAAAATTACACCTCACACAATGTAAGACGGTAAGAAATCACCCAATTTGACAAACTGAAAAGTATTCAGGTTCGAACTTCGAAAGACGCAATTCGGCAGATATCACATGCTTGATGTAGCACGGCAAATAACAGAGGGTAGTATCGTGACATGTACATATGTAAATATACTCATATTCAGTCACTGCTAGCTCTCCCAGTAAGACAGGCAAAATTCTCCCGATTTTGGTAGTATTCTGGCGCAACATTATACAATTTTTGAATCCCAACAAACGTATCAGAGCGGTTGGAAGCATTGTCTGCTTACAAGCAACAAAAGTGTATTGGGAGCACAGTCAATCGAATCATTAGCCTTATTGATTTCTACTCGGTCGGCCGAATTGTGTGTCTGACGGCAGATGTGGTGTGGAACAGCGAATGCAGGCTAATAAACTACGTGTAGCTCGACGGGCCTTAGTACCTATGCGGACCTTATCTCAACGACCACACTTGGGCTGAAAAAATGCTACAACCTCGCGACTGCATTGCCAGACGGCATAATATATGAGTGAGGCATAGCATGGCATGGTACTCTATGCTATCGTATTACGAGGCTAACTTGATCCTCTGATTGGATTATGGTACCGGGATAGACGTTCCGCCATTGATATTACGGGCCGGTCAAGATCTAAGCCCTATGCCAACCATACAGGCTCTTGAGTTCCTGGATTAACCCTGAAAGAAAGCCCCAGATATGTATGATTTGATGAAGAGGGGTATTAGGCAGCTAGATGTGTTTACCATGCCGCGGAGGAGGCTTTTTTGCTTCACTTTGGCCCGGTTTACTGGCCTGCAAGTGTTTCTAATGTGAAAATAATGCCAATTAGTATCTCAGAGGTACCTAAGACCCTGGAAGCAGTCTTTAGTTTGTGGACTAAGGTTGGAATTCCAATCAAACAAGTGTACAATTCTCCTGGCGCCGTACTATTCTTTGTTGAAGGTCTCTTTTGATATGGGAGAATATATTGTGCATGATTAGAGAAAGCCAGCTCTCATCACCATGTAGCAGTCATTCATACATGCCAAGGGTAGTGGAACTTGGATTCTATTTATACGGGGTCTCAGATACTACCAATATAAAAACAAACTAATATACAATGTGCGTAAACTCTCACATGGTAACAAATAGCTATGGTATTGTTCAAGATAACAACATTCTCATTTCCGTATTCGTAGAAAGTTAACTACCTCTGTATTTATGCCAACAAGCTACTCATGTGTTGTGGTGACTTGAGTACAACTAGGCTGCGCAATGGGTACTCGCAGGGCGGATAATGACCTCGACAAATAATCCGCGAATAATCTGTCTACAGAGCAGACAATTCAGAATCTGAATAAATAACTTATAAAGTAAATATAAATTACTTGTAAATACTTATTTATTTATATATTATATAACTATTTATAATCTTTTATAATATTAATATAATTTTATAATTAATATAATATTACGGGGCCGGCAGGCAAGAATAAAGCTCCAGTAACTTTGCCCTAATATAACAAAGTTATAGCAATATAGATAATAAGTTTAGATTTTAGAATTAAGATATAGCTTGAAGAGCTATAATATAGAATCTTTCAAGTTGAAGATATACAGAATTTTTCTAAGTGAACTAGTTTAATCGAATTCTAACTCACTTGTGCTCCAACGTAAACATTCATTTCAAACCCCTTTGAAAGATTTAATATATTATATAATCTTATATTATAACATTATCTTCTTTCTAAAAGTTAAACTCTATTAAGGCAAGGATATTATAATTCGATAATCTACAAATAAATAATATTTGATTAAACAGGTTCTAATTTATTGAGGTATCTTTAATAGAAATTGTGAATCAGTTCTTATATGTTCTTTAGATAGTTTATAGATTCTTTAATCAACATTTTATAGTCAATTCAATGGATAATGTATTTCAAATAAGGTTCTTTACAATCTCTTCTCTTTTAACAAGAATTTAGGATTTCGACAACTTCGAATTACTTTAAGTCATCGATTTTGACAAATAACGGCGGTGGGTTATACTGCTTAAGAATAGGATTATCATATATAGGATATAGTAAATTGATATAAAAAATAGGATGGATTTTTATTAAAACAAAAAGTTCTAGTTTATAAGCATAAAGGCCTATTAGGTATAGGATTTTAAAGAGTTTGAGATTCTTTTAATCAAGCTTTTTCTGTAAGTATAAAATCTTAATGTTTTTGATGTTCAATTAAATCAAGTTATTGGATAGGTATTTATAATTAGGAGAATAATAGATATTAATATTCTTTAAATATCAGATTTGATTAATAATTAGTTTGGTTTGTAGATATAAAAAGATAGCTTTTATTTCAATAATAAATTCTTTAATATCTTATATAATAGAACGATTATTTTAAGATAATATAAACTCAAAGCCTAAGCAAAAGTGAAATCTGTAATTGAAGAAAAACAAGGTTATCTGAATGCTTTTGGATTAGACATTATTAATAAAGAACTTGGTGAATAGGAGCCACTTTACTTAGTTATCTTGCAGGTAGACTACATACGATCAAAGGTATTGTTCTAATATTGTATTAGTTCTTTTAATCTGTTTGTCAGTCTCTGGATAATAAGTAATTGATAGTAATGCCTAAGTGCTTACAGATATGCTTTTAGAATTCGAATATAAATTAAGTACTACGATCTGATATAACTATTAGAGATAAATTGTGGAGCTTTCAGGTGTTCTTTCGGAATAGATGGGCAATCTTCTTAAAATTGTAGGTATTATAATAAAACAAGAAATGTTTTATTTTAATTAATCAATCAATTATTATTATAATAGTATTGAAATCAGTACTTTTGAATAAGTATGTAATGAAATTTATTGAGATATTTTGTTATATTCTTTAGGGGATTGAAAGTAGGCGTAGAACTTCCTTCTAATCTTTATAATTCGGAGTGGTGTGGTAGTAATTATAACAATTGCGAATTCATTATGTAATATAATTATAGTATTCAGGCTAATAGTAATTTCGGGATAGTAATTTGAAGGTTTGGGTATAATGTAAATAATTAGTAGTAGGTGATTTGTAGTACAAGTAGAGTAAGTAGGTTTTTAGGGAATTATAATTAAAGATATATAATTTCTTTTAATAATATAATAGATTATTGTTTTTAGTATATTTAATAAAAGTAATTTTCGAATATTTTAGGAATCTTTTTTATAAAGATTTCAGAATAGATTTGAGTATAGGGTTAACTTAATAATCTTTGTGAAATAGATTGAGTAAGTTGGTAAATAGATTTAAAAAGGTTTTTAAATTCTTTAGTGGTATTGTAGGGTTGGGTGTAGATATAATAAATAAAATTATAAGTTTTATAACTTTATTATTTTTTAGTAAAGTTATAATAGTATTGGAATTTAAATGATTAATAATATTAATAGAATTAAGGTTTCTTTAGTTATAAGTAATTATAACGAAGTATACTTTTTTATTAATCTTAAATTCAATTAAAATAATAATAATAAAGAACAAATTGGGATTTAGATTTTCTTGTTTCAAAATGGTATAGCTTTGATACAAAAAACATTTATCCTTTTTTTTCAAAAGATTTTCTAACCTTTTAATCAATATATTAGATTTGGTACCTAACTTTCCAGAGTGATAGATAATTCGGAAATCAAATTGAAATAGAAATTCAAATTAATAGACTTGATAATGATTTAATAA